GGGGCCCCGACTTGCTGCAGTGGCTACCCCCAAACCCTAAACTCTAAACCCTAAACCCTAAACCCCAAACCCCAAACCCTAAACCCTAAACCCTAAATCAGGGTTTTGCTGCAGGTGGGGCGGCGTTCGGTGCTGTACTGCCGGGGCCCCGACTTGCTGCAGTGGCTGCAGCAAAACGGAGAGTTAATAAATAAAAGTCCTTTAAAAAGAAAAATAGAAAACAAAGAAGATGCTGCAGCTCTTTGCGACGAACTCATTCGACACGGCTTCCTCTACAAGGCCCAGTACAGACCCGTGCGCGAGGGTTTAGGGTTTAGGGTTTAGGGTTTAGGGTTTGGGGGTTGGGGGTTGCGGGGCGCGGGTTGCGGGTTGGGGGTTGCGGGTTGGGGTTTGGGGTTTGGGGTTTGGGGTTTGGGGTTTAGGGTTTGGGGTTTGGGGTTTAGGGTTTTGGGTTTGGGGTTTGGGGTTTAGGGTTTGGGGTTTTGGGGTTTAGGGTTTGGGGTTTGGGGTTTGGAGGCTAGGGTTTAGTGTCTAGGGTTTGGGGCAGGGTGTGAAGGTTTGAGGGTTTAGGGTTTAGAGGAGTGGCTTGGGGAGCTAGGGTTTGGAGTTTGGGGCGTGGTAGGGTTTAGGGTTTAGGGTTTAGGGTTTACAGTCTGGGGCCTTCTCTCCAGGGTTTAGGGTTTAGGGTTTACAGTCTTGGGCCTTCTCTCCAGGGTTAAGGGTTTAGGGTTTGTCTCATTTGTCCTCAGCTCGACGGCGCCATGGAAGTCGGAGAAAACGGCCGCTGTAAGATTTAGGGTTTAGGGTTTAGGGTTTAGGGTTTAGGGTTTAGGGTTTAGGGTTTAGGGTTTGTGCGCAGTCAAGCGTCCCAAGTGGCCGAAACGCCTCGAAATTTGCCAAAGACAAAACTTCGAAGAAAATTATTTTTATTGTTGTCTTTATGAAGGCAGCAAAAGGTGGCAGCACTTTATGCTTTTCTGCGTCGTGGCTTTCGTTCTGGTAGGGTTTAGGGTTTAGGGTTTAGGGTTTAGGGTTTAGGGTTTAGGGTTTAGGGGTTAGGTTCATGCTCTTCTGCGCTGTCGCTTTCGTGCTGGTACGCGGGTTTAGGGTTTAGGGTTTAGGGTTTGTGCGTCATGGGGTTTGTGCTGGTGCTTAGGGTTTAGGGTTTAGGGTTTAGGGCTGGGGCAACGGGTTTAGAGTTAGGGTTTGGGGTCCGCTTGGCAAACCCTAAACCCTAAACCCTAAACCCTAGGGTTTTGTTTGTTGCTGCAGTGCATCTGCATGTTTCCTGCGTGGCCGCTGAAACTGAAGATTGGGGTTTGGTACATAGCGGTGGTATTCCTGACGATACTGGTGAGCGAGGGTTTAGGGTTTAGGGTTTAGGGTTTAGCGGTTTAGGGTTTAGGGTTTAGGGTTTAGGGTTTAGGGTTTAGGGTTTAGGGTTTAGGGTTTGTGCGCAGTCAAGCGTCCCAAGTGGCCGAAACGCCTCGAAATTTGCCAAAGACAAAACTTCGAAGAAAATTATTTTTATTGTTGTCTTTATGAAGGCAGCAAAAGGTGGCAGCACTTTATGCTTTTCTGCGTCGTGGCTTTCGTTCTGGTAGGGTTTAGGGTTTAGGGTTTAGGGTTTAGGGTTTAGGGTTTAGGGTTTAGGGGTTAGGTTCATGCTCTTCTGCGCTGTCGCTTTCGTGCTGGTACGCGGGTTTAGGGTTTAGGGTTTAGGGTTTGTGCGTCATGGGGTTTGTGCTGGTGCTTAGGGTTTAGGGTTTAGGGTTTAGGGCTGGGGCAACGGGTTTAGAGTTAGGGTTTGGGGTCCGCTTGGCAAACCCTAAACCCTAAACCCTAAACCCTAGGGTTTTGTTTGTTGCTGCAGTGCATCTGCATGTTTCCTGCGTGGCCGCTGAAACTGAAGATTGGGGTTTGGTACATAGCGGTGGTATTCCTGACGATACTGGTGAGCGAGGGTTTAGGGTTTAGGGTTTAGGGTTTAGGGTTTAGGGTTTGTTTCTGGGGTATGGGCGTTGGCGCAGCCGCTGTTTCAGGGTTTCGCGAGGGTTTAGGGTTTAGGGTTTCTGCCGTGCGCGCCTGGTGGCTGCGTGGGCGCGGAGCGCGGAGGGTTTAGGGTTTAGGGTTTAGGGTTTAGGGTTTAGGGTTTAGGGTTTGTGCGCGCAGCTGTTCCTGATCGTGCTGCGGCTGGTGTTGTTTTTGCTGCTGTGGTTTGTGGGGTTTGACTTTTGGCTGCTGCCAAACCTCTTCAACGAAGACGCGGGGTTTATAGATTCTTTTCTTCCTTTTTTCGAGTTGAAGAAAATGCAAAGCACTTGGACTTTGCTGGCCATTCGGCTCTTCTCCGCAGCCCTCACCGCAGGCGGGCCTAGGGTTTAGGGTTTAGGGTTTAGGGTTTAGGGTTTGGGGTTTGGGGTTTGGGCGGCAGCGGCTTGGGCTCGGGGCTTTTCCGCGGTTTCGGGGCCTTTTGAGCGGCTTTTGGGGGTTTGGGGTTTAGGGTTTAGGGTTTAGGGTTTAGGGTTTAGGGTTTAGGGTTTGGGGTTTGGAGTTTGGGGTTTGCGTCGCGGCTGGGGCTGGCACGCGGTAGGGTTTAGGGTTTAGGGTTTAGGGTTTAGGGTTTGCGCGTGCGGTGGTTTTGGCGTGGAAACATGCGGAAGTAGTGTTTTTTTTTGCTTTTTTGTCGAAATGGATGAAACAAAAGCTGGAGAAGACGCATTAGGGTTTAGGGTTTAGGGTTTAGGGTTTAGGAGGCTGCAAAAGGGTTTAAAAGGGTTTAAAAGGGTTTAAAATGAACTTCTTTTCCCCTTTTGCAGCCACTCTTTACCACCTCAGCGAAACGCACTCCCCCACAGATGTCGCCGCCTTCGCCTCGCAGTCTTTCATCGACGTTTTGGACTGGGGGAGACTCCGACTCGAGGCTCGTAAGTTTTTATTTATTTATTTATTTTATTTATTATTTATTTATTTATTTATTTATTTATTTATTTATTTATTTAGTTAATTTAACTAATTAGTTAATTAATTAGTTAGTTAATTAGTTAATTTAATTAGTTAGCTAATTAGTTATTTAGTTAATTAGTTAGTTAATTTAATTAGTTAATTAGTTAGTTAATTAATTAGTTAATTAGTTAATTAGTTAATTAGTTTAGTTAATTAACTAATTAATTGGTTAATTGGTTAATTAATTCGATCAATTAATTAATTGGTTAATTTAATTAATTAATTAATTAGTTAATTAATTGGTTGATTAATTAGTTGATTAATTGGTTAATTTAATTAATTAGATTAATTGGTTATTTTAATTAATTAAATAATTAATTAATTTGATTAATTAGTTAATTAATTAGTTAACTATTTAGTTAATTAATTGTTAGTTAGTTAACTTAATTAATTAACTAATTAATTAATTAATTAGCTAGTTAATTTAATTAATTAATTAATTGGTCAATTAGTTTGTTAAATGGCTGATAAATTAATTCGCTACTTAGCCTAACTAATTAACTAATTAATTAATTAATTAATTAATTAATTAATTAATTAAACTAATTAATTAAATAACTAACTAACTAATTAATTAATTATATTATTTATTTATTTATTTATTTATTTATTTATTTATTTATTTATTTATTCATTTATTTGTTTGCAGCTTATTTAAATACGAGCAACGCCTTGCCCAGCGCGGCGGCGCCTCAAGAGGAAAATGGAGAAGTCCAGGAAGAGCCGAATGTCTTGCCAGGTAATTTAATTTAATTTAATTTAGTTTAATTTAATTTAATTTAATTTGGATTTAATTTAATTTAATTTGGATTTATTTGTTTTAATTCATTTTAAATCATTTATTTCATTTTAATTCCTTTATTTGCGTTTAATTGCATTTAAATGGGTTTAATTGCATTAAAATGCATTTA